GACTCGAAATGATTGATAGTACTATGTGGGCAAATGCATGTCGGCATGTTGAAGACACAGAAAAACAGTATTTGCAATATTTTGACATGGACTTTGAATTTATTATTTCTGTTAATGACTCTGATTCAGATGAAAGTGAATCTATGGAGATGAGTGAATAGTGATACTTTACATAATTTACATGCATATTATTATAGTAATTATACTAATTTGTAAAATAAATATTTCGAAAGAATATCAATCTGGTTTAATTAATCTACATAATTATAAAATAAAACAATATATTTTAAACCATTAATTAACAAATAGAAGAAATACCATCATAATTAAATAATTTAACTTCAATTTCTTTGTAGACCGTATTTGCTAAGAAGCGGATTTTCTTGGATTTTTTGTCCAACTTGTCATAATTGCCTGAAGGTGGCAGAGAGCGGACGTTTTGTTTCATACAATGCCCCAACGCTGCTCCCTAAAGAGAGCGTTGTCGGATTTATCACGCGACTAGTCGACCGTCACGTAGGCATACAGATCATAGTTCGCGGAGCAGTCGACGCTCAAACACAGATGAAGCGTCGTTATTAATATTTACACTCACACATCGAAATCAACTAATTAAGTAGTGGGGCGCGTCATTTCAGTTTAGACAAGCTCTACTTCTAACGTGGCCCATTTTCAAAATATCGCCAATTTGGTCGATAAACTTTTTTCTAGGGCGTCCTTTCCCGACTGCCGTTTACATCTGCCATATAAATTTGCTTTGTCACTCTTTCCTCATTAATTCTTTCTACATGACCAAACCACCGAAGCATTCCCTTCTTAATCCTGGTCACAACATCATCTTGCATACCACATTTATCTCTTATCATGCAATTTCTCACCCTGTCATTCAGATTCAACCCTGGCATACTCCTTAAAGACCGCATTTCTACAGCATTTATTCTACTTTCGTGCTTCTTCTGCCACACCCAGCTTTCACTACCATACATTAAAGTAGGACACATTCTGGTTCTTCATAATAGAGTGTAGTGCTCCATTCACTCTATTCCCTGCATTAACTCGACGTTCTATACGCTTATCATATCTACCATCCCTACTAAATACACATCCCAAATACACAAACTCATCCACTTGCTCAATTAACTCTTCCTTCTATTCTTATTTCACATACCGTTTTGCTTTCTTCTCTTTCAAAAATCATCACTTTCGTCTTACTTGCGTTCATTTTCATTCCCCTTTCTTTTAATTCCCAGTTCATTAATGTAACCATCATTTGCAACTCAGCCGCCGATGACGCAAATATGACTTGATCATCGGCAAACAAAAGGCATTTGACGGTTAACTCGCCCATTCTTAAACCACATTCTTTATCTTTCAAAGTTTGCAAACACCTGTCCATAAATAGGTTGAACAGCCAAGGGGAAGCTACACAGCCCTGTCTGACACCTTTTTGGATGCCAAACCAGTCCGAGTTGACCCCATTGATCCTGACATAAGCACTAGTCCCTATAAAGAGACCTTAATGCCTGTATCAAACCAGCGCTCAACCCATATGAGATCAGTGTTTGCCATAACACATTCCTGTCCACTCTGTCATAAGCCTTTTCCAAGTCCATGAACGCACAAAAAACTTTCTGGTTTTTGGCCATAAACTTCTCAGCAATCGTGCGCATGGAAAAGACTTGATCTGTACACCCCATTCCCTTTCTAAAACCCACTTGCACATCCCAAATTTTCCATCAGTTTCTTTCATAACTCTTTCAATTAACACCTCAGCATACAGTTTACCCACAATACTAAGCAAGCTGTTACCACGGTAGTTTTTGCAGGCCTGCTGTAACCCTTTATCATATCCAGCTGCCTTACATGCTTTCATGCTTTTCATTGCTTTCATTATTTCATCTACACTTATCTCCATACCCCTTTCCACTTCTTTCGGAATTTCTAGTTCATTTAATTCAGACGACTCTTCACTCATAAACACGTTTTCAAAGTATTCCTTCCACTTCTGTTTAAATTCGAAACTTCATCATTCAGAATACATCCATTCTCGTCTCTTATAGCATTAATTATAGGCTTTTTTGTATTTCCCTTGGCAGTTCTTACGAGTTTCCAGAACATTTTTATATTATCCTGGAAATTATCAGATATCCTTCTATCATTCTTATCCGTTCTATCTTTTTTTCCTTTCAACTACTTCTTTTATTCTCTTATTTAGACGTCTAAATTCTGCCTTTTTTCTTTCAATATCATCATTCATACCAGAAGAATTACCAGCTTTGGTTGCTAGTAAATCTAACCATGCTTTCTTCTTTGATCCAACTTCCACCCGTACCTCATCATCCCACCACAACGTATTAGTTTTCCTTTCATTTGTTCTCTTACTTACACCACATACTTCTCATACACAACTCATTCAAATATCTAATATTTTCTCTCAGTCTACATTTATACTTCTCTTTCACATCTTCATCTTGTAAATTCTCTATTCTTATACGATGTAACGCAGTAGTAGACACAGATGTCCGATGCCGCCAACGCTTGAAAAGACCATTAATTCGTATGTCGAATTAATGGTCTTTTTCAAGCGTTGGCGGACCAAGACCAATAAGACCAAGTAATGATCCGTCCCTACGTTGGACCCCCGGTAAACCCTTGTATCTACGACTGCGCTCTTCATTCTTTCATCCACAATTATGAAATCTATCATGCTTCTATCATCACCTCTTTGTACTTAATAATACTTTTTTTCGTCATAAGAAGATTCACATGTATACTTGGGATACATGTGAATCTTCTTATGACGAAAAAAGTATTCGTCACAAAAAAGATTCTTTTGCACACATACGGTCAGGAGGTCTTCACCATTCTCATTTATACTTTCATCACCAAACGTTCCCAATATCCTTTCATAACCAGACCTCTTCACCCCAACCCTTCCATTAAAGTCTCCTAACATAATAATTTTTTCATTTTCCTTACATTTTGTCAACACCATCCTTACCATGTCCCAAAACTGCTGTCGGATGTAAGTGGGCTTAGACATGTCTGAGACGTACACCCCTAGCAGGAACAGCTTCTTTAAGCCCACTTTCATTCGTATCCATAGCAGCATCGGGCTTACACATTCATACTCTTTCACACATTGACCCATTCTTTCTGAAAGGATGAAACCGACTCCCTGGCATGCCCGTTCGGTCTCGTCTACACCAGACCAATACGCGGTATACGTGCCATGTGCAGTGGCATCCCTTCCCTTTTGTTTCGTCTCATTTACACATAACACATCTATTCCTCTGTCATTCATCATTTCGCATACTTCATCCATCTTATCATTCATTCCTCCACGTACATTCAGCGTAGCCAGACGGGTTTCCGCAATCCACTTTTCGCCGCTCCGGGAGACAGAACGTGGCGAACCTCGTCGCCGGTTTTTCTCCCGGAGATTCTTCGCACCCTGCCCCATTAAAGGGGCGCCGGGAACTCGGGGCCATTTCTTTTATTTCCTGACACATGGTGCGAACAAGGGGTGGTGGTAGATTTTACGCCGCTACCATACGACGAGGAGCCGAGTCTATTTTCCGCAATCCACTTTTCGCCCCTCCGGGAAACATAACGTGATGGGTGGCGAACCTCGTCGCCGCACAATATAGTCTCAAATATATACTAGAGAAATATTGCAATTCGAATCAATGAAAACATTCATACAAAATATGTATACTACACAAGAAATTCCGCGCGCAAATCATAGCGCGTGACAACCGAAATCAGAATGTATTTTATAACATTATCGATATATCATAACGATATTGATTTATCAGAATTATTTAAGATTACTTGCATGCCATCTAGCGTGCCAACGTTTAAACGTTGCCTTTCGTTTGCTTGTCAAAAGTCATGCACACTACTAAAGAAGTGTCAAATTTTTCCGGGATTTCACTATTGTTTTTCTCAGTATATAATGTAAGTTATTGCCTATAAAGGTCAAACGCGTACACATTTCATTGTAGAGAAGTGATAAAATGATTAGTTTTAAAGAAAGAGTGTCTGTGTTTAGTGTATATTTTGATTAAAAAATGTATGGACGGACGGCCGGCGCTTCCACGTTAACAGTGTGTTGTTTAAAAAGTCCTTCGTTTTGAACAGAGAGTGTGCGGGACTGTTGAAATGGTGAAGCAGTAAGCCCGCGGAGCCATACGGTCGCTTATGCTCACATCAGTGGAAACTTCTGGCAACTATTTAACTGTACCGTTTGGAATTGATGCTACTTCGATTCGGTAAATGTATTAACACCAGATTACCCCATTAAAGTAAAATAAAACAAGCCATCAAAATCTTCCCTGCGCTTTTCGATCGTTAAACTTTGGTAGGCGTTGGTTATATCTGAAACAGCTACACCATTGACTGGTGATTTTCTGGACCATATTGATAAATCTAAAATTTATCACATGTGAATACATCAAGACGAGCTAAATTCAAATTTAGTAAGCATCAGGGTACCAATTTCACGTGGGCCTGCTTTTGAGCATTAGTGAGATTGTGCGGCGCCTAACGCGAAACATACAAAGATATTCGTGTAAAATATTAGGAACGTATCCTGATTTAATCTGGAATTTGTACTGAATCTCTTTATGCGTACATCGCCCATTTTAACCAATACTTTTTTCTAATAAATCACTGGTCATCCTGTAAGTTTCCTTCTGTAACAGCCGTTACCACCACCACTGGGCGACCACTTGTTTCTTCATTTTTCAAAGTTTGTCGACCGTGCTGAAATTTGTTACACCTGGGGTATACAGTTGCCTTTAAAGAGCCTTTATACATATATGCTATTTAAAATCTATTAAACGATTCGTCCGGTTCCGAGCGACGTATGAACTCGTAAAAAATATCACCCGAAAATAATCCAATGTCGATCCATTTTTCAATGTAACATATGTTTATATTTCTGTTTCGCAAAATTTTCTGCGCGGCTGTCGTAGGTACTTTAATAATAATATTACCTGTCAGCATAGAAATGGTGGTTGTTTTTCCGGCGCCATTGTGACCTAATAACACTGTTATTTCATTCTCGTACATTCTGAGATTTAAATTATCTACAGCCTTTTTTCGACCTTTGTATATTTTAGTGAGATTCTGAAATAAAAACAATTAAAAAAATTACAATTACATATTTAACATTTCGACCAGGGTCAACAATATGTATGCGAGAGATATTTGAGAGCTTCTTTCGTGAAGCCACTGAGTAGTAACAGTATAACCTCAAACTGATAGAAATTTACACAGTAATTTTTATAGATTTATACAGTAATTTGTTTGGCGTAAATTGAAGTTTGCCTTAGGTTCTTATACTACTAGGTTGCATGAGAATTGAAGACAATAACGAAAATACTATCAATTACAGTTAATACTAAAGCGGGGAATTCACTAAACGGACTTGCCCACGGACATGTCTACAGACATGCCTGCTGGACTTTTTTTTTCTATAGCATAGGGTGACAAACGAGCACACAATCCACCTGATGGTAAGTGGTTGCTGCGGCCCATAGATATCTACATTTATCCTCGATTACGAATTAAAATGCAGATGCATTGTCACACGTGAGGACTAATATGGAATGCCTCGTTTCCAGTAAAAAGGGTCTTCGGTTCTCTACACACACCATACGAAACACAGCAGCATTAAGTTACTATTTTACGTTGGTATTCTGTGAGAGCGTGGTCCTTCCCCAGTCGAGCCGACCCATTCGTGCTACAACTATACTACTCAGTCGCAGTTGGTCTGGCAGATTTGCCTAGTTAACGTTCGCGCGAACTCATTTTGTCTACGCGGGCACAGACATGCCTGAACGTGAATGTTAACTGCGGGCTGTCTGTTCACAGACACAATTTTTTTTTTTTTTATTTAATTTGGGGGTTTATCCTTTTTTGTGTGGTGGTGCCCGACAGACATGCCCGAACAAACAGCTCGTGGGCATGTCCGTCTAGTGAATTTCCCGCTTAACACACAACAGTATTTTTAAATATAAACAATATGTAATATATTTGACGTAAATTTAGCAGTGTTCTTCAAGGTTAGTCTTCAGTTTTTAAAACTACTATAAGATTTTAAGGCAATAACGAATATAATATAAAATAAAACATCAATGATTTATAGACATTAAGAATTTTAGAATAAACCACTGATATACATCTGATATACATAGATTTAATATTGTATGACGTAAATTGAATGTTAGACTTGAAGGTCTGCCTTCGGTTTTTCTTATTATTAAAATTTCAAGGCTGTACAGTGACACAGGCAACTCATATTTCTACATAAATAATAAAGCAAAAAAAAAAACGGATGTCTAGAATTAAAAAAAATGTAGCACGTCTGTAAATTTTGATTGAAATCAAATCGAAATGTGTTGCGTATGCAATGTACCAGAAATCCGTATGTTGGTGTGTGGAATGCATAAGCGGTCAAAGTTGCTTGGTTATCTCTTTACGCGTGCACTCATCCAACGGATAGTGTATTGCTTTGTTATAGATGGAGTGACGACCTCATGATTGTGTAAGAGTGCAAGTGGCTATGAATGGTGAAAGCTTATGTTTACATGTTGTAGAGTTACGCTGCAACTATATTAAAGTTGTAGCACGATTCAGCTCGACCGGGAAAGTATCACGCCCTCATAGAATAAGTGTAAAATAGCAGATTAATACTGCTGTGCTTCGTATGGTGAGAGTAGAAAACCGAAGACCCTTATTATTGGAAACGAGGCATTCGATCTTAGTTCTCAGGGGTGACGTGTCTGCACTTTGATCCTTTTTCGAGAACCGATGTATATTTCTATAGGTTACATCATCCACTTACCATCAGGTACTACACACCTACAGGACTATGTACCCGACTGTCACCCTTAATCACCCCAGTGGACATGTGATACTGATATTGATAATAATAAATCAAACCTTGTTGACTGATATTCTAATTAGTAAAAGTAGCAAAAAATGTTGACAGTATACATCGAATTCAAACTACTTATGAGTAAACTACTTGATGGTGTAGAGCTTTACTGGATTTATGGTTTGCGCACGAGCTCTACTGATCAGTGTTCATCGTGGACAGGTTCTGTTGTGTTAAAAATGTATCGATTTTTAAATTTATTTATTTTTATAATTATAACTACCGAAGTATATGGTACTTCTACCTACGTATGGAAAATATTTTAGGTGATGTAGAATTTCATAAATTGTTTTCAATTTATAAAATTATTCCAAATTTGGCAGTTACAAAGTATTCTGTATCTACACGAGCCATTTTAGGTGCGACAGTACTATAGTATGTACCAAATCGATTGAGAAAAACGGACGATGACCTCAGATATAAGCCGTGTCAAAAGGCGTAACTTACAAAATCTCAATTTAGATGTGATAACAATATTTAAATATTGATATTATTCACACTTCTAGGTCAGCACATATGTTTTGTTCTTTTGTTTCTTAAATAATAATGTCTCTGGTTCCTATAAACATCGTAAAATCTTACGGTACGTCGCGAAAAATGTGTTATATTTTATATTTCAATTTATGGTAAGTAACGCAGCAGTTCATTTAATAACAGTTTCATATTAAAAAATATATTTGAAGCAATATAATCACCATATTGAGCTTTTGCAAATTCATTCCTTTAAAGTAAAGAAAACGTCAGTTCATTCTAAAAGAAACGTGACAATGGCAGCCAGAGATGCGTCACCTTTTTTGGGCCGCTCCGCATGCACCGAATAAAAATAAAGTTCTTATTTTGAATAAGTACGTACTTATTCGGTGTCGTTATCACTCGATTTTTATATGTGTATAAATCTAACAATATCTTTATATGCATATGAATTAATGCTTTTTGTTGTTAAATGAATAAAGTACTTTATAACAACAGATGATTTTTCTTCTAAAGCGATCTTTTCCATAATTTTTTAATAATAGTTTACGCTCGACTCTCCTGCGGGTGCAGGTGCCAACAATACAAACGCCTAGCGTAAATTTAAAAAGAAATTTGCAACTTTTTTAAAATTGGCAAAACCGTCTTCGATGCCGGTATCTTTGGTAAATTGCTATGCCGCATGTATTGCTATGTGATTTTCATCGTATAATTTTTTGTGGACTATTTTTTTCTTTATTTTCTAAAATGGATTACATGAATATATCCTCTAGCTAGTTTTCAAGTTTTTAGGTATAGCTGACGAGAAGATGTGTCGTAATTTCCCGAACGCTGCCTAGCCGAGTTGAATCCAATAGTGCTCCCAACAACTACTGGCATAGGTGTGACGTGGACATTAAACATGATTTTTGTTTTGTCCATGTTCATATTAAGAACTATCCCGTTGGGAGACACCATTGAGGACATTGAGCATAGTGTTTAGGTCCTCCAGCGATTCTGCCGTAAGGACTATATCGTCGGCAAATCGAATGTGAGTGATGTACTCGCCATTTATGTTAATACCGTATCCTTTCCAGTACAGTAGCTTGAAAACGTCTTCCAATGCAAAGGTGAAGAGTTTCGGGGATATAAAGTTACCCTGTCTTACATCCCTCTGCAGTTAGATAGGTTTCGTACTCTGGTTCTGTACTCGGATAGCCATCGTAGCCGTACTGTACAAACACTTCAGCACTTTGATATGTCGACAGTCAACTTGGCACCGATTAAGGGACTGTAGCATCGCCCAAATTTCGACAGAATCAAAAGCTTTTTCATAGTCCACATACGCAAGGCAGTGGCCGATTTTACTCTTCGGCCTTCTTGGTCTATGGTACTGAAGCCTTTCCGGAAAGGCTGGAAGTCGTCGAGTCTGCGTGCGAGACGATTCGTAATGACTTTCGAAAACAGCACGTAGACGTGGCTCAGAAGGGAAATCTGTCAGTATTTTTTCGCCCTACTTGAAGAACAAGACCACCGCACTTCTGCTTCACGCCTCCAAAGTAGTGTCACCATGGAGGACCGAATTAAAGAGCTTCTGAAGGACTTTAAGTTTCGGTTTTCCACCCGCTTTCAGAAGCTTCGCTGTAATTCCATCGTCGCCTAGAGCCTTGCCGATTTTAAGGTGCTGGAGGGCCATTCTAATCTCGCTTGGACTGACGTCCGAGATATTATCGGAATAGTGTCGGATAAGACTTGCTCTTGGATCGTTACTCACACTTGAGTGTGGCTTCAAAGATGATGTGTACAGCTGCCCATAGAACCTCTCAATCTCACTTAAAATCTCAGAAACGATGCTGCCACACTCAGTCTTCAGCTTTGACATTTGGCTCTTTCTGGCAGACATATCTCTGGAAAAGACTTTGGAGCCCTGGTTCCGCTCGATCGCTTCTTTAATACGAGCAGTATTAAAGTTGCGTAAGTCCCGCCGCATGCATTTGGAGATCTGTCTGTTCGGTTGTCTCTATGCTGTCAAATCTGTTGAAGACTGCAGCCTCATTTCCCGTCTAACAGCCATGCGATTAAGAGTGTGATCAGAGACTTTTTGTGTTCTTCTGCGGCGGTCTTGCTGAACTTAGCTCGGACTGCACGGAAAGTTTCCACGAGCTTGTCATTTATATCGTCTATTGCATTGCAATCTTCTAGGCACTGAAAGCGGTTTTGTAACTCGAGATGAAAGGTTTCGGGATTTTGGATTACGAACACGGGTACGAGTGGGACGGAGCGTTGACTTCATTAGATGAGACTTTTATGTATGTTCAGTGGGTCTCTAACAATTCGGTGATTGTTGCCAGTTTTCACCCATGCGATCACTGAGACATCAATGAACAGTTGCAGTCTAGTCGTCATAATGAAGTCAATCTCATTTTCTGTCGAACTGTCGGGGCTCGACCAGGTCCACTTTCTATGGGGCCGTTTCTTGAAAAAAGTTTATCATAAAGAGTCCCTCTTCCTCCATGAAGTCGGCCAGCTGCTGGCCCCTTGGGTTCTGTTGCCCTATCGTAAATATTCCTACCTTCAGCTCACCGTTCTTTCTTGTGCCTAGTTTTGCGTTGGAGTCTCCCATTAACACCGTATAGTGTGTTTTGGAGGAATGCATGGTTATGTACAGCACCTTCTTGATCCATTATCAATGGAAATGTAGTTTACGCTATCTCCTGGAAGTTTACTCAGTATTGTCATTAATTTCGCCAATAATAATATTTCTAAAAGCCAATATTGCCCTCTGATACATTCACTGATCATCTTTGTATTCTACTTGGACATCTTGGTAGACTTTGGAGATTAGGTCTTCAATGCTGGTAACTATTTCACCTAAATCGTGATCAATTTCAATTTTGTTTTCAAAATTAAAGTATTTTCACGTCTCGAACGAACTTCCAGGGGAAAGTTTTTGTGCTTCTTATCTTAATATTTTATGCAAGACTTCACAATGTCTGCCCTAGTTCGTAACGCAACGTTTGTCAAAAATCACCAGCAAACATGACAGTGATTCCACCCAGGACCTTACTAGATCTTTTGATATCTCTAAGAGTCCTATCTAAAGCCTCCACATAAGCTCTTTGAATCATGGTGCATTCCTCCCATTATTAAAGTGACAATTTTACGGTTAGAGCTCACGCTATCTTTCTGCGAAGAAACAGTAAGAGGCAGTTAAAACGTCGAAATAGCTATGTGTCTACCTGCTAATAGAGTTGCAGCGATACCCGACGACGCAACGGCCAATGCTAGTTTTCCCTGAGACCTAACTTATGCTAATACCAAATTAGTAAATAAAGTCTTGTCGGTTCCAGATGGGACACCCAAATAAAAAATATCTTCCTTCCGTAAAACGAACGACAATCAAATGATGTAAAGGCAATATTGATGAAAATTAAAAACTTGTGATAAATGACGTATTTATTTGGGTAAGGATTAATACCATATTTGTAAAAACACCTTCGCAAATAATGCATTATTTTAGAACACATTTGATTACCATAAAAAAGGTTATAGTGAGTCATCCTTAAAAAAAATAGATATAATATTCAATCCCGGATTTTTTTTTAGAATTTTTTAAGAGGAAAAATTCCGTCATGTATGATAGTTGCATAGCTTTAATGGTTTACCACACGCAATGGAAGCTCTCAAAAGGAATAAATTTTCCCCGTTTTTGCAACATTTTTCATTGATACTCCGCTACTATTATAAAAAATTTAGTAAAAATTTAAAAATTTACGATAACAGGTCGTAGCGTGATGTTATATAGCCTTCCTCGATAAATGGGCTATCCAATACAAATAATTTTTCAATTCGAAACAGTAGTTCCTAAGATTAGGTCGTTCAACCAAACAAACTCTTCAGATTTATAATATTAAAACAAAATATTATTAATAATTATAGATATAAATACGAATGACCTACTGATGAGATGATTTAAACTGTCACTAACCTCTATGCAAATACCCATCGGAACACCTTTTGGTTCTTCATCGTGGACGACTTGTAAAAGAGCATCGTTATATTCCGTGTCAATCCCGTCCTTCTTGGTTATTCCTAAAATAAAAACAGATGCTGAGTCTACACAAACTGTGAACATCACACAAAAACTATGAGATCTATAGGAGCCAGTGATGCCGACACAAAATTTATACTTCTAATAGTCGGACTTATAAAAACGTCGAAATGGGAAGTTAATAATACCAAATTAAACATTTAAAAAACCCCCGAAACCAAAAGAGCTGATGATCTTCAAACGGCTGAACAGATTTTCATCAAACATAGCTAAGAACACTCTCGATTAATGCGACACCGCGAAAAAAGTACCTCCTTTCATCGAATAGTATAGGACTATGACACCACTAACGAAAGTGGAATTTTGATATAGGTAAATTCATGTCTTCTTTTATTTAATCTTAAAATCTTTTCTTTAATCTTGAATTTGATTGTTCAAAAACACGATTGTATAATTTTGGCTCGATCATAATTATTTGCGAAAATACCTCAAAAAAATCACTATAGTTGAAATTACAACGAAATTACTTAATCTATATGGTTGGGAATCACTCAAATATATTTATAACATCAATATTCATAATCTACTTGCTCATTATTTCGATTACTTAAATCAATAATTTAAAAAAAATATTTTAAGATCCTGACAATTTCTAAGCGCTTTTAATCGTCGCGGACGCTACGCAATTTTAGACCTTATTACGGCGTTTTTTCAAGTTTTTAAAGAAATTATGTATTAACTCGGATCAGTACGACGATAGCCTGGAGCCACTTTTTCGATGTGTCGTCTTAAGACACCTTTCAAAGAGAAAAAACTTCATCAAAATCGGTTCATCCGTTCAAGGGCTATGATGCCACAGATGCAAACTACAAAGATATAACAACCCTTTGTTTTCATCGGGAGTTAATAAATGGCTATCAATGAAATAGGACAGAAAAAACATTTTCTTTCCACTTTATTTATAATGAAATGAAGTGGAAAGTTGTGTTTGTTTTATGCACATCAAACTTGCATATCTAAGAAATTAGAAAAAAAAATTATTTCGAAGACATGTGAAGTTTGCCAACACGCATTGAGGCAGCGTGGCGGAGACTTCCTTACCCGAAAACCTTCTCCGAAATGAGAGGATGCCCTGTGCACAGTCGTGTAACGTATATAGGCTGTAACGTTAACTTTTTAACTGTAACATCAAACACGGTTGACTATAACTAAAAAAAGTACGTACTGGCCGCTTTAAAATGTTTAATGTCAAACTTTTCGTCATTTATTCCGGATCGACTGCGCATTTAAATAAAAGAAAAAATAAACTAAATTGGCGATAAAAATTGAGTTCTTTTGTTGGTAAAAAAATTTACTGAGGGAGAAAAATTTACTGAGGGAGAAAAATTGTACTGAGTAATTGTAATTTTTTGTTGAAAACCGCTATTTATACTTCTTTTTCTCAACTCTACTCATTGCTAAGCCACTGCACGGAGCCCACAGACGAACAACGTTTTATGCATTTCAGTTGGACTTGGGGCAATATTCCTCCTCAGCAGATTATTGACAACCTCATTCTAAGTACCTATGCCCAACCGATGCAGATACGTTATGAATGTCATGGGTGCTTTAACTGATTATTAACTCAATTAATAACCGCCCTTAAAAAGTTTTTACTTCAATTTATTATTTAATTTAAAAAACAAACTTTGATGATGTAGTTTTCACACTTGTGTTTTTTTTCTCTGTATAAAAATCTGAAATCTCATTTAAAGTCAAAGTTTATAAAAAATTGTAGATTATTAAATAAGTTTTCTTTGATATATATACTTACATGTTTTAGGAAACATTGAAATACATACTCTTTGAAAATCATATGTTATTAAAATATCTCTATACCGAGCTCTTTCTGATCGGCTTAACACACTGGCTCTGTGAAGAGATGTTACATCTCCATGCGTTTTTTATCGCATTTACCACGGGGAGTGCTCTGATGAATTGTTCGGACTAATTTCCAGCCGCACAATTTCACCATCACACATCGCGACAAACCTCGCGATACTATCTATACGATCTGGATGACTGGCGGTCCACTGGCTGGTACCACTGTGCGATTTAAAAGAAGTTTTCTTCCTCGCACAACTTCCTTGTCGCTACGACTTAGGGACCTTCAAGAAAAGAGCCTACTCATTTTTAAAAGGCCGGCAACGCATATGCAATTCCTTTGGTGTTGCAGTTGTTTATGGGCGGTGGTAGTCACTTACCATCAGGTGAGCCATATGCTCGTTTGCCTTCTCTCTTATAAAAAAAGAAACCGAAATAGCATATAGCGCGAAAGGAGAATTTTCATTTTTTTAATAATTATTGACTCCGTAGGTTGTTGCTCGTGACTATGTGAAGACTATATTTTGTAAGAGAGGTTCTAATAAATCAATATCCCGTGATATATACTTAACATATTTGTGATATTCATTTTTTAACAATATAACATGTGCATCTGATATAATTTCCGAACGCATGGAAACTATTATGCTGTAAACCAAGGTAGCATGTTTCGTCTTCCTTCAGTAATGGTACTGTACATAGTCAAAATGAATATCTTCTTTATTCAAAATTATTTCATGTTTGGGAAGCTATATTTTTGAAGTAAAACTTCTTTACGCACGCTTGACTTGGGGAGTAAGCTGGCTAACGCGTGACGAAAGCGTTACGAAACGTGAGATCGGGCGAGGCGAACGGGAGTTTAGTGGGGGATATAAGCAAGAGAGAGCACATTTTCTTTCTCTCTTTCTCTCATAGCCCGTTATTTTTCGTAATTTTATTTCGTTTTGAATAATTTTATGAATTAATATTGTGTTCAATATATGAAATATTATACGTTTAAAGTGAATAAAATTGTAATTTTAGGTTGAATAATAACATATTATGGAAGGAAGGCGATAGTAAATTTACAAGTTTGTAAAAAATTAATACATGATATGTAGATCTTTCTAGAACTCTCCCTCCAACGCCGTCTAGTATCGAATAGAAGTACTAAGCTTTCTAGAAAACTTCACACTTGAACTTTCTGGAATAATCTAGATGTTTCGGTGGAAAAGGCCTATATAAAAGCGTTTGGGCCGCGACCGGGCCAGTATTGAATTGGCGATACGAACGAAGCTTTCGGTGTGAAATAAAGTGAACTAAAAAGTATTAAGTGTGAATAATTATTAGTGTGATTTAAGTTTTAATTGGTGTTCAGTAATATAAAGTGTCAATTTTGGTAATTCAATTGGCAGTTTTTATTATCATGAACCCTAAGCTCGTCTCGTCGTCTCTGTGGAGAAATCTGTTTAAATATACATACTTCACAATTTAGTGAAGCGAGGTCAAGTCGCTATTTTTAAAATGTCGCAAAACACATATGAAATGTAAAAAAGGAAATTTACAGCCTATATAGGGCCCCACGACTCTCCCCGTCCTCATCTCAGTAATGAGAGGAGGCCTGTGCCGAGGTGGTGGACTTCACATGTGCTCCAAATATTTTATTCCTTAAACATGCAGATTTTCCGATTTCATTGATACCGGCGGGAAACGAGGTTGCTCGCGTACGTTAAGTTCCCAGCACATGAGCTACCACGGCTCTTAAGACGATACCTTGAAAATCCATCGTAGTTTTGGGGGCGTGGCTTAGCCCGTTGTCGTTGAAGGTCGCAGAAGACTGAGGGAGTGCCAACATATAATAATATAGCGAGCGCGCTCGGAAATAAACTACGTAAGAACTAAACAACATTTTTTAACAAAACTCCGTTATGGATTAAAAAATATTTTATATGAACTTTGATATGATTATTAACTGTGATTTTAAAATAATTTCATGATCTAATTAGAGCTTATTTTACAATTTTTTTTCTATTGAGAAAACATGTTATGGTTTCCTTTTATGCAATTCAAGATTATATAATTAAAAAACATATCAAAAAAAGACGTGTGGCACTCGGGGACTGCCGCGGTAAAGCTATTGCATAGCATTTTGTATCAACTTATGCAATTATAATTATTTATTTATTTTATTTATGCAGTATTTCTTTTTCTTTGATATTAATTCAAGTTACACTTTTTGAGCGTGGTGACCGATAAGAAAACAAATTTTTTTTCTTTTATTAAATAAATAAATAATAAATGAACTTTGTTCATTCATATTCAAAACACTTATCGGTTGTAGCCCTGAAAGAGGCAGTAACGCTGTTGGTTCGGCAACTTTGGCATTTCAGGCCACTGAAGGAATCGGTAAAGAAAGATGAACCTACCTTCTATAATGGTTTCGATATAAAAAAAATATGTCAATTGCGTTCGGGCGTAATTAAAAAAGTACAACAATGTGATAAATATTCTAAGTGATTGAATTCATTTAAACAGATTTCGGAACATTCATGACGAAAGATAAAGTTATAATAATTTCAGATTTGTCAAATGTGTAAGACGGTGAACTGCAATTATATCCCTGCAAGTCCGTCTGACAAGCAAAGCAATTTAAAAAAAATCTATTATAAAGATTAGGTCCGTTTTCAACTGAAAACCAATTAATTATCGAGGCTGAAGAATAATAATATATTTCTCTACTACATAAACGTATTTTTCCTTGTTAGCATCCGAAAAATCTAAAGATTGTTTTAATCCAATATATATAATATTTTGTATACGAAAATATGTACATCTCATATTCACTGAATATTTAACTCATCCCAATGTGTTTAGTTATGCAAATATCATGCTTCCTCCTTCAATAAATAACTCTGACGTGGATACATGACTTTGTTTTCCTTTTAAAATAAATGCAGAATGTTCACATAAATGGACGTAAAAAAATTAAGCTAATGTAGCACTAATTAGTTTGGATTCGCGACTGCATTTTCAATTGGGGTAAAAAATTGATAGTTTTATTGTAACATATTATCATCTCAATAAAGCTGACATAAACAGATGAAATGAAAGTAAGGCAATATTTGTTGGAAAATAAATGAACGGGAAAAAATAAAACCGAACGACCGAGAGATATAATGCTAACATGCGCCGTCTAACGCATAAAGACCCTGTTTTAATTATAAACATAGGTACGCGACATGTGCCATAAATGGAGTAACTCTTATAACGAAAAAAATTGTTTGTCACATAATGAAATAAAATTAAATATATCTTGTAATCTTCTAAATTAAGAATGTTTGCTGATTTCTATTTAACTAATGTTGAGCCACGTGGTGGCGGTGTAATAGAACCATGAGCCATCACCCCTTTGGATCCCATGGTCGTAAAAGACGATAACAGTCAACGACAGAAAACTTTTATGGCTTCCGATAGATGGCATAAAGCCAATGCCCATCTTGTTTACACCTATTTAGTTTACATAAGAATTAAAATACTCGGACCGGCGAGGAGTAGCAGAACAACAGAACATGATATGCTTAAGAAGAGAAACGAAACTGTTTGGTATTAGAAATTAGACATTTCCATCTTAGTCCTCGGAGGTGACTACGCGTCTACATTTTGATTTTTAATCGATAACTGATGTAGATATCTATGGGCGACAGCATCCACTTACAAGTTAATGGACTGTATGCTTATTTGTCACCCTTACTCTATAAAAATATATAAAAACCTACTCCACTATTAAAAAATTAAATTTTTGCAATAATATTTTACGATTTTATTTCGTAGTGCTGAGCTCTCGCAACGCGGCGTACGTCCACCTAGCAACACGATGCGCCCCGCACTGAATTCGTGGACGAATGCGGGGGTGATATAGACGCAGTATTTAATCGGGACGCATTTTTAATTTATTATCATAAAATAATACATATTTCTAAAAAGTAACCAAACCAAATTATTTTATTTTGTATTGCAAAGCAGTAGATATTTTTTTTATATTCCTTTGATAAACAATGAAGGAGTAAAGTGGTTTCATCTCAACGATTTGGAGGTGATTTGGGTATTTTTTTATTTATTATGTGACACCGATAGAAAAATTATGGCTAAACCAAATTACGTATCAGATCATGTAGATTGCTAGCTATTTTTTTCATATGTAATTTCTCTGTAAGTGTCGACGAAAAGTTGGTTCATCTGCACGCTTTTTTCAAGCTTTTTGCCAGAGAGCAGCCTTAATAATAAATGCACTTTGTTCATTCATATCAAAATTTCAAAACACTTTATACATAAACACCGTGTCGAAGACTGAGGAAAAGAAACGACGTTAGACCATCGTTAGACAATGCACGGCCTTCAAGCCACACCTCCGTGCCCGTCGGAGAGCGTGAGGTTTTTTTCGTTACGAAATTTCTGGATTTTCCCGCACTCAAGGCCCGCGATAGAAGCTATGCAATAGCTTAAAAATTTTATTCGTAATCTAAAAAACTTAAAGAAATATGTGAAATAAAAAAAAAACACCAATTTTCAAGGTATCAGTCGCACAATTAAATTACAAGTGTTGGTTAATGTTTGGAACAAGTTCTACAAAAAACCGTTTACATGTTCATGTAACAATAAAAACGATCTAATGATAATAATAATAGTCAATTTATATTCTCGTCTAGAACAGATAAGGAGTTATACGTGTTGTGGGAATTATTTCAAAATACTTACTTGCAGTTTTCTTTTTATTGGGCCACCAAAAGTTTTTGGTGAAAGGAAAGTACCAAGGCAATGGCACTCCGTACAATCCAGGCCTAATTTTCTCTACGTACATTGCTATCAACATATAGAGTATTGTATCTAGTATTAACATAAGAACGACATGCCCCGGCTGAAACTGGTCGTGGTAAGATATCGAAGTAAAAAATTCATTCCACTGTAACCCTGTAAAATAAAATACAACTTAATCCACTCTGCATTGCTACAATCATCAACATTATAATCCGCTTGTGTACACTCAATGGTTAATCGAATCAAGAATTACTTAACAGAAATCTATTATATGAAAGATGAAGTAAATAATCTTATGTAGTCCTCAAGTAACAAGGGCCTCTCCTGACGCCGTTCTTCAAATAATACATATATACTATTTATGCATTTTTATAGAGTTTAGAATTTAAAGACATAATAATAATAAGCCAACATATACATTTTAAGTTTCCGTATAGTAAATATTTTTGGTTTTATTGCTATGGTATACACACCGGCCGCTTAACTAAAATTAGATATTCTTTGGTATTTAACGTGTTCGTAAATTAAAAAAAAAAACAACTAGTAATACCAAAACGATTTAAACAGATCGACCTTGTGGTTAGACATGTTTAAATTATGATTTAGCGTTTTTTGTCAGGAAGATTACCGAAGGCATACATCATCAATTCGAAGGCCGGTATTCAGAGACAATCTCGAGCTAGAAACTAAAAATCACAAAAATTTGTGTAATATATTGCGATCTCTATTCAAAATTTTGACGTTGTGAAGTATGGGAGTTCGAGAGTTTGGCTTCTACCGACTCTATTGCCAGCTTTCTAGTAAGAGAAGCCATAAAGCAAACAAGAAGAAGTTTGACTTCGTATTTATTGTGTTAGTTGAATTAAACAGTTATTCTGAAATTACTACTTTCTTCTTTACTAGCTGGTAAAGATCGACCCAAACGCCACGCTGGCGTTGGCAGGCAGATTAGCGATTGTAGTACCAGACTGATTTCAGCTTTAACGCTGCTGCCCGTCGCCGGTCTGGGTATTTTATGGTTAGCGTTAAGGAGATAGTCATACTGCCATATTAGCAGAAGCCGTAAAATGTTTTCTGACAATTAACATAGTCGCCACTTATGACACCCACCGGGGGACGAAATGGGATGATAGATTTTACTACGTCGCCATTACTGGGCATAAATTATTTGCCTACTTAACAAAAATTGAAGTTGCGACATTCTAATAGTTGATCGATCACATGTGAAATGTAAGGGTAAAGATATTCTTATTTTTTTCTTGTTTAAAAAAAAAACAACCGTTACCTCCACATACATAAATTTCTCAAGAACAAACATCCAGACCCGAAACAATTATTTGTAGGACATACAAATACTAGTTCCGTGCGGGATTCGAACCCACTCTTCACCATTGCGCTACGGTGCTTGAAATATCAAAATATCTTAAGGATTACTTACTTTTTCAAGGACTTTTACATTCTATATTACGGACACAAGTAAGTCAAAGAATTTGATAGACTCAGTAATTAATCGTATCTATAATGAAAGTGAGCCATAAATTTTATAACAATTTCAAGAGCGACGGGCGGGTATTCATAAATTATCAGTATGATGATGGCCGAGTTGCACAATTAATTTATTTTTTTACCTACCTTTATTTATATATTAATTATTATAAAGGATCGTTTTGTGTGGCGATATATTAATATTTGTTATATTCACATTTTAGTTTTGTCTCTATACAAGTCGTGTTTTAAATACACAAAATTTTGTTCACTATAAATCAGTGGCAACCTCCGATTATAGTTTTTTTTTAATTTTTTATAGAATAAGGGTGACAAACGAGCACACAGTCCACTTTATGGTAAGTGTATGCTGTGTGGCCCATAGACATCTACATCTATCCTCGATTAAGAATCAAAATGCAGATGCGTTGTCACAACTGAGAACTAAGATGAAATGCCTCGTTTCAAGTAAAAAAAGGGTCTCCGGATCTACACAATCACCATACGAAACACAGCAGTATTGAGGTGCTGTTTTACGCTGGCATTTTGTGAGAGCGTGGTCCTTCCCCGGTCCAGTCCACCCACTCGTGCTACAAACATAATATAGCAAAATTTTCTAATAATGGAGAATAATTATGTTCAAAAGCGGATTGTTACGGGCAGTACCGCATTAATTATTTATTGAGATTATCGATGACGACTTTATCGACGTAGTAGAGAAATTTAATACGGTAGAAATAAGTCACGATTTCTTGTAACTTTTCATCGCCGGGGCTACATAAGAGTATACCATTATTTATCATACTTAAGTAAAATATAAAATAAAAGAATAATGATATGTCGTTAAGCAGTTTCACTTCGTGCGTAATTATACGCACAACTTTTTTTTATTAAAACTTAAGTATAAATAAATAAAAATTAGTTGGCTAAGATCAGCAATAGAGGTAGGACGACACAGGGGAGGCACATCATTTTATTAATTTTTTTTATAGGATAGGGTGACAAATGAGCACACAGTCCACCCGATGGTAAGTGGTTGCTGTAGCCCATAGATATCTACATCTATTCTCGATTACGAATCAAAATGCGAATGCGTTGTCACCCGTGAGGACTAAGACGGAATGCCTCGTTTCCAGTAATAAGGGACTCCGGTTCTTTACATTCACCAAACGTAACAGCAGCATTCAGCTACTATTTTATTCCCCGGTCAAGCAGATTTATTCGTGCTACAATTATACTACTACTATAACAGCATGGCTCTACCACGTGGAATAAAATTACGCGGATCTGAGCTAATTAATTTTAACATTCAGCAAAGTAACGATTGATTCCATTAATAAATAATACAGTTTATAAAATTACCTCTAGAAGTGCCTTCGCATATAATAATCATTTGAAATGCGTATCCCATGGCCGTATTAGAAATTAAACTCAACAAAAGCTTAGTGGACAAACTGATATCTTCATATAGGACTTGGGTCAGCATGAACACAGAGTAGGTAGAAAACCACGCAAGACCCATAAATGAAGCGGCGGTGTTCGCTGCAATTAACAATGTCATTGAACAGAGCAATTTGTGTCACATTCTTAACTCTACTGTAATTTTAATTGATGTAAATTAGTTCTTGTATGATTACGTGATGTTTAGTTAAACCGTTGACATCAACTCAATTGAAGGCCTAGTATAGACATTGCTTTCAATATAAACCATACATGTCTTGATTAAAGACCTTTATCATACGAGTAACAAGACGGCACTAAATTTTAATGATTTTTCAACCGATTTAAAAGAAAAGAAAGAAACATGAAATGGTTTAGTTTACTGACTTTGTTTTTTTTTTTCTATGTTTATTGGATAGTCCCATATACAATTTAACTGGATCTGATGATAACTGAAGTCAGCTTATATTTTTTCTAAATAATCCAGTTAAAATCTTATAGTTACTAAAACTACCATTGAGGCAATAGATTGTTTTTTTTTCTTTGATTAAAACCATCTGTAGGGGATACCTACATAAACAGTTGTGAGTTCTGGCTGTTGCAGTTAATATTTTTGTGCATATTTTGCTTTCTGGTTTGTATTACAGGTGTTACAATAATGGTGGTTACGTTAATAGATCTCTGATACTTGTGTTGGAAAACCAGCGGGGGTAAATTTTTAACCGCAAAATTATAAGTGTCTTTCGTGTGGTTAAATATTGTTGGCTAAAATTAAACGCGAAAGGGTGCACAAGAATTTTAATAGTATAATATTTCATCACCGAGGTAGCAGTGATTAAATAGGAGAACATCATCTTTGTTTCTGGTAACATCTAAGAGTAACCACAGAATAAATAATAGTACTACGTAACCTAATTTCAAAGGGAACTTACGTCGGGTTCGTGTATTAAAAGAACGAGCTTTTTGATCGCTCTATTACTACGCCATATTTTTGTAAAAAATAATATATTTTTGTCTGGTCGTCTTATGATTGTCATTAATCCATTCATTGCCTACTGGGAATAGAAACACATTACCTCCAAGCCGTCATACATTTGAAGGCGGCCGCCCAACTGCGTCTAAGGCATCTCGATAAAGCATTCTAAGGCGCCCATCGGCGGTTTCGGCATGAGGTTGTAAAAATCGACGTGTCATACCAGTAAACAATATTATGTTTTTTTTTAAAGTCAGGAAACATCAACCTTTTTTTTTAAACTTACAAAGGTCCCTTTTCAATTTTATTAGAGAACTTCATATACATATTTATTTTCAGACCAAGCTTCGATTCTGGAAAAACAGTTCTCTTTCTTCTGTTTTCCGCTTTTTCATGGTCAATAAATTACAAAAACAATGAGTGAGAAATCACCTATCGATTTCTGTTTAAAAGTTGTCTTTTATGGTCAATCCAATGAGCACAGTAGTCCACCTCGACCTATCCTTTGATCCATCTATTAGGCGTGTGCGATGCTGACACTACTTCAAAGAATACGCAGTGGTCAAGATCCTAACGGATCAAATCTTGATTGGTAACTATCAAAACCAAGAATATAATTAAACAACAAATTTCAATTCACGTGACTATACCACTGCAAACTATATGCTACAGAAGACTTCAATTCCACAGTATGAAAACACCTATTTATATTTTTACAATAGTAACAAGACAAATAGTGATTTTCATTCTCATAACATGAAAAGGTTGATAAACACTGATTAGTTATTAAAGGCGCCGATGGGCGGCTTCTGCAAGTAACCTTAGAATCGGCATTTTTTTAAATCGCAGATATCCCACAGGCCATTCCAAGTATAGCTAGATTATTGTAAAATGTAACATTAAAAAATATTAGGTATTTTTATTGTTGTTTGACTGAAAAAATTAGCTTTGAAAGTGAGACTCCGATGGGCGTCCTCGGCATGTGAATAAAGATTGTCAGACCGCCGATGGACTCTAAAGGCATTGATTTTTTTTATTAATGGGTTAATATTGCGTTGTATTGGATACAGAAAGGATCAAACTGGTAAGAGTGGGCTAATATAGGATAACTTTCTATAGTATTTTTTTATAGGACAGGGTGGCAAACGACACAGTTGACCTGACGGAAAGTGGTTGCTGTGGCCGATAGACATCTATCCTCGATTACGGATCAAAATGCAGATGTGTCGTCACCCGTGAAGACTAAAATGTCTTTTTAGTTATAAAAAGGGTCTCCGGTTCTCTACACTCACAATACGAAACACAGCAGCATTAAGCTACTATTTTACGCTGGTGTTCTGTGAGAGCTTGGTCATACCCCGATTGAGCCGACCCATTCGTGTTACAACTATACTACTAATATAACTGCAGCATGGCTCTACTACGTATAAATTCATAATTTAGTGATAGGAATTCATCGCCAAGATGGCGGTGGTGAAGTAAGATAATATTATCTGTATTCTTGGTAATATCTAACCTACCTAGAAAAGCAAGTTACATCAGGTTCATACACTGAACTCAACGAATGCCTTTGTAATCCCACACATACACAAGGCCCAAAATATATTGACAGTACCTATGACGTTAAACGCGTTTCTGAAGAATAACACTTTGTATACATTTGTCTTGCATTATAAAAATACGCTGCGGCATGTTTTATTCATGATAGTGATATTAGTCATGATACAGTTATCATGTATGGTCGCTGACTAATATATAAAACTGATAGCAAGTTAGTTAAGGGAAAAATAAATTAATAAATGCATATATTTTATTAATATTATGCTTTCAATTTTTTCGATATTGTGACCGCCGTGGTTGGATGGAAATGGATTATAGTCATAGTTGACGAAAAATAAACTAATATTTTTTTATAGAATTAGCTGACAAACTAACACACAGTTCACGTGATGGTAAACAGATGTGGTTCATATACATCTACATTTATCCTCAATTGAGAATCAAATGCAAATTCGTTGTCAACCCCGAGGACTAAGATAGAGTGCCTCATTTCCAGTAAAAAGGGGTCACCGGTTTTCTACACTCACCATACGAAACGCAGCAGCATTAAGCTGCTACTTTACGCGGGTACTCTGTGAGATCGTGGTTCTACCCCAGTAGAGTCGATTCATTTGTATACCATAATATAGCTGCAGCATGGCTCTACCACGATATATTGTAGTATATTCATAGAAAATTGGAATAGAACAGATTAAAAATAAAAATAGAGTATAGTAAAAAATCTCTTACCTCTTGAGAAGAAAACACTGACCATGAAGCAGAATGCCAATGAGGCTATAACAAATAGCACCATAAAAAACAACAAAACCGACCATGGTGTAAATGTCAGAACAGCATACTTGTCACCAGCTGCTGTTGAGTTGAAAGGAGTCTAAAAACAATTGAGGTAAATGAATTTCTAAAAACCATTAATATAAAAGAATTTTTAAGGCAATGTGGCGGATACTTCTTTGCCCTAAAACCCTCTCAGAACCGAGAGGAGGCCTGTGTCCAGCAGTGGGACGTATATTGGCTGTAACTTTAACTAACTTAATTACTTATAAATTGAGGAGTCATTTTTATCAAGGAAATTAAATTTTCTTTATTTTCTGTACTAATATGCTATCAATGGACAATATATTAAGTTGATATTAAATTTTTATATTCATTTAATAATAATTGCTTCCTTAATTTTTTTTTTTTTTTTTTTTTTTTGGTTTTTTTTTTTTTGTTTTTTTTTTTTGTGTGGGGTGGGGTTTTTGTTGGTTTGTTGTTGGGTGTGGTTTTAAAGATTTTGGTGTTGGGGGTTTGGGTTGGTTTTTTTTTTTTTTTAAATAATTTTTATTTTTTTGGGGTGGTGTTATTTAATTTGGTGGTTGGTGAATCTTGATAAAGTAAAAAATATTTGAAACTTGTTTCATTTAGAAGATATATTACATTTACATACCTTAAATAATATTACCATAAGAATAACAGATATAAATAGAAAAGAAAACTGTTTGATGAACCATGCAAGCCAATGTAGCCATGAGGGCAGCCCCATAACGGTCATTGTTTCCTGAAATAAAAATCATTTAGGGTATAACTTACAACCGGGCTTATTGCTCTTATAGAAAATTTAAAGGAATTAAAACATTTACTAAGATCAGTTACCTTTAGTTGCAACTCTTTCTCAGATGTTACAACTCTAACTGTATTAACAAAGCTGTATGCAAAACATAACATAATTATCATAGATATAAATCTCTCTAAAGCTATTAACAAATCATCTTCTCTATATGCAATCTGAGGTAGACGTTGAAGATATACTTTTGTGTTGATTGATTTTCCTGATTTTTGTTTTATTATTTCCTGCGATACAGCATGTTGGACCGCTAAGAACATTTCTGGTGAATAACCTAAGTGAATAATAAATATGAATCATATTAAAACCAATTTAAAAAACCAAGATCATATATCAGTCACATGTTAATAATGTAAAAAGTACCTGGAAGTTTCCCTCCATATAAATCATCTGGTTCCCTTGGCCCAGGTCGGGGAAACACAGGAAATAGCAAATTAGTCCTCCAACTAGCTCTTAATGGATGTTCTACCATAGGAGTTCTCATCACAGCAGGAAATCTCAGTGTAACAGATATATCATCAGGCCAACTCGTTGCATCTGAAAATTGCATATTTGCAGTCAAAACTTCCTTTTAAATAAAATAACACATAATACTTGTTGTTTGCAGGTTCTATTATTTATTTTTGCAAAGTGATAATACTGAAATGAAATTGTCCAGAATTCACATTACAAAAATGATGTAAGTAGATATTGATTTGGTTCTTATTTATTTACACATAAAAAAATGATCACACCAATCACTTACTTGACATATTGTCATCAAACTGAATGCCAACCAAAATGTGATTCATAACATTCGGCTGAGTTAGCGCTTTCTCTAAATCACTTGAATTTTTAAAACCTTTTGGCTGTGGTAACATTTTGGTGTCAAATAACAAAGCCAAAAGGCCATTGAGATTATCCAGTGCGACCATTGCCATCGCATCTTCTGTTACTTTCCGTGTCAGTGGATTTTCAGGTGAAAATGCTAGAGTTCCTTCTCTTTTTGCTGTGGTAAGATTTCCTCTAAAAGTAACAGTTGTTTTAGAATTTTCAAATATGTAAACAATAGTCAAATATTAATTATTACAATTTATAATGTAAATTATTGTAACTGTAAATTTGAATTATTGACAAGTATCTACATCTAAAAAATCATGTGATGTAATTGGGAAAAAAATAAAAAAAATTACAGTAAACACTTCACTTACAACGTTCTGCCACTTATGTTAAAGTAGGTTGGGAGAAATGGTTGATATACAATATCTGGTTTTGCACTTGGATTTACAAGACATCTTATTAGTATTAAAAACAATGAAAATATCACAGGCGAGGCTATTTCGAAAATCGTTTGCCATTTATGTCTTCTTTGCAATAGAAAATTTTTCCAGATAAGAAGTTTCAATTTCTCATAGGATGACATTTTTAGGCTGTAAGCAGATATTTTTTATAAATGATTCTTTCATACCATCAAAAATTTAAAAATATATCTTAGTAAATTAAAACGAAGAAGAATAGTTACCTAGTTTATTCATACAAACATACAATTTCATAAAAATAAATAAATGTTTCACACAGTACATATAAGTATATTTATTACTTTCCTAATGCTGAAAGTAGCTGAAAAGAGAATTCGATTGGGTTTTTCCTAAAAGTACAATAAAAGCTTACCTATTGATCGCATTCTTATTATTGATTGATACAAACGAACAAACGTTTTAATGTGATTTCTTGGGTCGTAGAACGTCACTTCAATAATTACGCATGGTTAAAAATTATATTAAATCCTTCGAAGCCCCTTGAGACGAGTTTTTCTTAATCTGTACCTGGTAGGTAGGTACTAGGCATGTCGATCTTAAATCGATTAATCGAAAAATCGATTCTTTGGCGTAAAATAATCGATCTTTTAGATCAATTCCGAGCACCGCATCGATTCACTGAATCGATCCAAAAACCTCTCGGATCGGACTGATTCATCTGATTCAAGAACTAGCGATAAAATTCCCAAACTGGCTGGGGTCAGATACCGCAGTTTTTTAATTTTTTTGCTGTTGGGGGACGCAAAAACAACCGGTCGTACTTGGTTGATAATTTGAACTCAATATATATTTGAATAAAATAAATATTTATGAACGCATCCAACAATATCAAAAAGTTGTCATTTCATTTTCATTTCTAAAATTATAATTCTAATCTTACCTGTGGAATGTTGGTCTAACTTAATCTGTGCTGTGAACAAAGACTACATATACATACTACAATATAATATTATTGCTGTGAAACTGTTTGAACTGTGAACTTGTGAATTTACTTTATTTATTATCAAAAACATACATACTGTGAGCTGTAAGTAATTTTTAAATACCTAGATACTGTAAATAAATATTATACCGTACGTTGAAGTTTATAGAGGTTTATAGTAAGGAAATAACCAGTATTGTGTTCGTGTAGCATTCACTTCAATTTGATAAATAGTTTAAACTTTTGTTAAAGTATTGTTGTTGTTTCTAGCCTAAAATTTAAAATAAAAGTGATACATGGAATCACTTTGTAAAAAAAAGGATCAAGTGGCTTATGTGCGAACCACTACTAACACAAGCGTTTCAAGCTTACCAGGAGTGGTTAAAAGGAATATTAATAATGTTAATTAATAAGATTACTAATATTTTATTAAAAAAAATATTAAAGTTCCATTAAAGAAAAAATCGCAAATTCTTGAAATTTCATGTTTGAAAATGTCGCGATTAATCGAAAATCGATCTTTTAATCCCCGATTTAATCGATAATCGATTCTAGTGTTTTCGATTCAAATCGATTCAGAGATCGATTTTTTTTAAGAGTGAATCGACATGCCTAGTAGGTACCTATAATTAATTGATAAATTGGCATTGGCATTTCCGCAGTGTTGCCAGCATGGCTTGCCTGGAAGCTTCCGTATATATACTTTCATAAATTTTAGATACTATAAATATATTACAATTCTCTTGCACGTAAATTTCTTGTTATAATATTTTGTCTATAACTGCTTTTTCTTTTGCCGTAACTGTATATTTTAATTTAATTTGATTTTAATATACCTGCGTGTATTCTGTCGGAATACAGTGATAATTAGTGGACACTTGGATGTTTTAGTTAACATCCGATAGGTACAAAACTATAAACATATAAATATTGTTTTTATTTTTAATAGTACATTAGTTAAAATTTAAAATAAGTAACATACAGTAATATAAGTTACATATAGTAACAGTTGAAATTTGAGATCAAATTTCTTCGACCTTCAAATTATACCAATTATTATTGACTTTAAGGGCATAGGTATAACATCAAATATATGTGAATATTAAATACATGCATGTCTAGTTATAAAGTGGACAGACAAAGTTAAAAAAAAAGGTTATTCTTGTCGTCTTAATAGCATGCCAGTAATCCCGTGAGCTTAAAAGAAGCTAGTTATTTCGATATTTTAGACAAACACTTTAATTCATGTGTACAGTAATAGATTAGCACTACCAATGCGGTTAAGGAATGGGATCGAAAATGACGTCGCATTAATTCACCTCTCGCTTGCACACTGACACTATCTATATCTATAACCGCCAGTAAAGACTGCAAAAAAAACCTTGTGATACGCGTTTTTCGTACGTTCCATAACTTCAGTCTAACTTGCAATTTGGCATCAGTAATAAAGAAATTCCGTAAAATACAAAAAAATGGTTCAGTTTCGCTAATTTTCACAGAATGCATCACAGCTCACATGTCACCTTCCGAGAGCTTTCTTCACAATTATTATATTCATAGTTAATATTTTTGTATAAAATATTTACATGCTGTTGAGACATGAGTAACCATTTTCAAAATTTTCGTTTGTCTGGTCTTTCCGAGCTAATCTACGACCAAATAGAGAGTAATAAGAGTAGTTTTGACTAATCGTGGTATCTTAGTACCCAAACTTCAATTTAATGATAGAATAGAATGTTCCATAACTCTCGCCCTTCTATTTTGATTTATTTGTTATGCCGACTACTTCCATTGCTTCCTACTTCCATTTAGGCTTTGGGTAAATTTAATAGATAAAATGCGCATTTATAGTATTACTAGTCACCTACTATTCAATTTACAGAAGCCGTGAAGTGTCCACGATTTGCTGTCAGAGTTATAAGTATACGCTATGAAAGCGGTAAATAATTATTTTATTAAAGGCGATAAAATACCACACCTACATGTAAAATGCCACTAAAATTTAGCTAACGACATTGTACTTTTGTTTGAATCGAGATGAAAGATTAGTTAAGTCGACTATTTTCCATCAAAATCTTTTTATGTGATTAAAACTACTTTTACGGATTTTTTCGCGTTTATTTTTACTTTTTATTTACTTTTATTTTTAATTCCCGACGTTTCGGGCCCTTTCCAGCACCCATGGTCACGGGGACTGAGACGACTGACGTCCCGATGTCATTGTTGAACCCGGAGTACCTTCAGCTTTTTTAATTATTGTTTATGGTCCGATCTATGCAAAATGAACTGACTATGTCCTGAGGTCTTGCAGTGGTATGCTTGGGTTTAGTTTTAATTTTATTGATTATAGGATCCCAAGCAGGTAGTAGTACCCAGCCTCCTTCTCTATTGAAATTAGGATGTTTTTTAACCTCTTAGGACCCCGCGGCCTCACATGAGTACATAGAAAATAAAAATTCGTTGAACGAAACGAGTTAGCATTTTCAAAATATGGCGCGTTTCTTTGTCTCAATTATGACTCTGTCATTATGAACAACTGTCAGGCGGCAATTATCAATTGCTGTGTCTCAAAAACTTCGTCTTGCCGGTAACAACAATGGCACGTGGTAAGTTAATCCTGTTTAATCAATATTATATCAATTATATATTTTTATTTCACTTTTTTTATACAGTTCTAGATGCATTTGAAAGAATGGAGTTGTTATTTTTTGAATTTAACAAAAAAAGTATGGATAAATCTTGGTTTTTTTCTTAAGTACTCGTATAAGTACACTCGGTCTTAACTTTAGTAATTTTTTAATTTAAATTTTGAGGTTATGTAAATTATTGCAATATTTATTTTTGTTTACAGCTTTGAAAGAAAGCGAAATTGAACAGCAATTGAATTTCAATGACTCAGGTGGCCTTTCTGATGATGAAGATTTCAGCAACAATAGGAAAATTCCTATTGTTGCTGAAAATATGACTAGAGATAGATTTTTCAAGATACGAACATCTTTAAAAATTGTATTTGATGATGAAATATCCTCTTCAGAAAGAAGCTCAGATAAATTATGGAAAGTGAGGCCTCTTTTCGATAGAATATTACTAGGGTGCTTAAAACAAGAAAGAGCACAACATATATGTATTGACGAAATGATAATACCATTTTCAGGGAGCTGTCCAATACGACAATATGTGCCAAATAAACCGCACCCATTAGGTTTAAAGGTTCTGGTTTTAGCTGATCCAAACGGAATAATATGCGACATGTTTGTGTACCAAGGAGACACGACATTTACCGATACTATGAGAAGCATTTATTCGGTCAATGAGTGTTCTGTTCTTCAACTAACTGAGTCTTTAGTTCCTGGACACGTCTTATACTTCGATAGATATTTCACCTCCCTCAAATTGGCAGAAACACTTTTTGATCGTGGTTTCCTGTGTTCTGGAACCATAATGAAAAACCGTATCCCTCAAAATGTGCTGCTCATGAAAGATCGTGATATGAAAGAAAAAGGACGTGGATGCTGTTTTACAACATACTCTACGGACGGGAAGTTAGCAATAACAAAATGGTGTGACAATAAACCAGTGCATATGTTGTCGACGTGCTATGCGGCTGAAAATACAGATTTTTGCTCAAGATGGTCAAAGACAAAGAAGGCTTACGAATCGGTTAGTAGGCCAGAAGTAGTAAAACACTACAATACTAATATGGGGGGCGTTGATCTCATAGATCGTATGCTCGCTGTTTGCCCTTCCAGAGCAAGAACCAAAAAATGGACGATCAGGTCCATTTTTCATTGTTTTGATATAGCTGTTACCAATGCTTGGCTTCTTTATCGCCAAGAAGCAAACAAAAAAGGCACGCCTAGTAAAAATATATTACAGATGAAAAGTTTTAAGCTGATGCTAGGGGAGAAAATCATAGAACACAACACTGTAAGCTCGGATTCTGAGGAGAATGAGTCTGATTTCGAGGCTGACTTGGCCCCTAAACATAAAAAACGTCGTATTCTGATTCAACCTGTGCCATCTATAATTCGTCGTACACAAAAGGCTGAACATCTACCGATAATGACAGATAAGCAAAGCAGATGTCGACAAAAGGACTGTGATAAAAAAAAGTAGAACTGAATGCTCTAAATG